ATGTTTAACCTTTTATTTTATTTTCCCTCCTAGATATGTTTTATGGTTTAGTGCATGTATTCCTGAACTGTTTTTCTGCTTGATACTAGAACTTGATTTTTATATGTTTACTATCTCTTATACCATCTATTTTTTTGTATTACACCTTACCTGCTGTTCTATTTTGTAAATTGTTAACTTTGAAAAAATTCAATTAAAGAAATATTGAAAATAAAATCTCATATTGAGCTCTGTGTCATTTTAAAAGCTATTGTTTCTATTTTTAGGGAACTCTTTAATGACTGACATGAGTACCACTGGATTGGGGTAAGACAAATGTGGTGCTAATATTTAAATAATGGGTCAAAATCTTTACCAAGGAATTATAGACCTGTTAGTTTAACTTCTATAGTTGGGAAGATACTGGAGAATTTAAATAAAAGTCCACATAGCTGAGAGTTCTTGCTAGAAAAAAAGTTTTAAGCAACAGACAGCATGGATTTCATGAAATACAGAAGTTATTCAAACAAATCTGATTTCTTTTTATGAGGAGGTGAAGCAAAACCTTGGACAGAGGGGTGGCGGTGGACGTGGTATACTTGGATTTTGCAAAAGCGATTGACCACTGTTCCAAACACAGCTAATGTGTAAGGTAAAAGTCTACAGGCTTTGAAAAAATTTTCATTATAAACGGATAGAAATGGGGCTAAAGATTGTATTCAGAGAGGGTAGTGGTTAATGATTCATATTTTGAATGTCTAGGGTTGTCAGAACCCAAGGTTCAGTTGTTGGGACGCTTACTTTTTTTTGAATGTTTACAAACAATTTTATTTTTCCAAGACAATAGACTGTAAAAAAGTAGCTTTTCAGCTTCAAAACAGTATATAAAACAGAAACACAGGAACAACTGTACAATGTTGCATGTCAGAAAGTACATTCTTGTTTGTAAAAAAGAAAATTAAGAGAGAAAGAGTAAAGAACTTAAGTACAATGAGCAATATAAATAGGAAATGGGATACAGAATTATTCAGCTACTGACAGAAGTAACTCAAATCAATCAAAACATGGGTGATTATTAATCATGTTTGTAGTTGCCTAATGAGTTCTTCCAAAATTTCCCATTTTCTATCAATAATCGTTACTTCTTGTCCACGTAAAGTGTATTGAATGCTCTCCCATGAGCATCACAGCATCACATCCTATGCAGAACAGAAAGCCAATGGTATTGAGTGGGACTTCCAGTGTGTAGGGCAAATAGCCTTATAGGGATGGATTTACAAATGGTTTGTGGATTAGCTTCATAACACTCAGTCTGAATCTCCCGAGATATGGGGCACAGTAGGCAGGATCTGCACAGTCAGCTGCACCAGAACACCCGCAACACAGTAGAAGCTACCTCTGAGATCCTACGCCACACCATAGGAGAGGCCCGCGACAGGTACAAAAGGTATGCACCAGTAGTACTTGCTAGGCCGATAGCCGACGAAATACATAGGTTAAGTAATAGTGTAGTACATGACATGTAGTCTAGGATTAGGGTATACATACCATCTGGTTATTCCTTGAGGGGCCATATCACGGACGAAAAAGAAAGGGATCTGGATCTCTTACATATGTTAATCCAACATGGAATCCCAAATTTTTTCCCCTTCATCCGAAAGGTGACGACCACTATCAGTGTCCCATTTTTTGTTCTGTAATGTGGGGGTTAGTGGAAAGAAGATACTGAGCCAATAAGTTGACGATACACATCTGAAATATAAGACCCCGATGCCCATAGGAGGAGTCACGGCTAATTACGTTCCGAAAAACAAAATCGGATGAGATGGAATGTATAAAGACCAAAATTGTGAACTAAAGAAAGTATGAATCTGTCGGATAATTGATTTATATCACAAAGTGGGATTATCATAAGTGTGTGGTATAAGATCCTCTTCTTTGGAAAATCTGATAGCTTATGAAGGATCTCTACATACCACCAACGAATACGCATGCAGAGATGGAAAAAGCCTCATATAATAATCCACGGGGTCACCAAAAAATGCTCGTACCTGGAGAGTCAGAGGAGTACCAGATTTAATCTAAGTTTATATCAAGACCTAAGCGGTCTATGACATGGGCCACAACGGAATTTATGAGTCCATAATGAGTGATTTTTGGACCACAATATGCCTGGTATATAGAACGGACGTTATAGACTGAGACTCAAATCTGATCCACGGGATCTGCGGAATTATTGGTCACCCATTGTTATAATTGTGTGATACGAAGCCGTCAGGTAGTAAAAGCCAGAAATTGAGGAGACCGAGATCTCCCACCCGTTGCGACCAGTATAGGACCGATCGAAGTAAAGACTGGGGGGACATTAAATTACGCCAAATAAAATTGTTAATCAGCCGATGTGAAGTTGCGATCTAGGAACTGTTTTCGAGACAGGGACTGGGGGGAGTTGCCTTTAAATAGATGAAGTATATTTTAGGCAATATATACATTTTGACTGCATTGACTCTGCCCAGAAATAAGATTTGGTATCCATGCCAGATTTTTCAACAGTGTGGGAGAGGTTGGTTTGGGACACACATGGTGGATTATTTAGCAGGCAAAATAAGTTTGTCGCTAATCTGGGTGTGAGTGTTAATACCCAAGGTATGAAATTCTGGTTCAGTGGTCCATCGGATATGGAATAGAATTGCGAAGAGATGCCACTCAGGAATCAGGATTATTGTTTAGGTTTAAATCAATTTGATTTAGTATAAAATTTACAGTAAGACCTGACACTATAGCCAAGTTCATTCAGCCACTGTACATATAATGAGGTAATGAATACTAAACGGTATTTAGTAAGGGGAAAATCATTAACATCATCACGCGTACATACATATTTTGTAAGTTGTTGAAAAAACCAATAATGGTGTAACCAGAACATGTCCGAACTGGATGTGACCTTATTGCAATTTGCCTAGGGGTTCCAACCACTAGCGCAAATAATGTAAGGCGAAAGAGGACAGCCCTGACGGGTGCCATGCCACAGTGTTAAAAAAGTCATGATTTTAAACCTCGGAGAGTCTTATTCTTGTTTTGGGGGTTGTCGTTACAAAGCATGTACCCCAGGAAATTAGAATATCCTTGCACTATAGCCATCTTCTGCAGTAATGAACACAAATAGGGCAAAGTGGAGGACATATCCTATAGCCTTACTGATGTCCAGACTCAGCAAACCTCTTTTGAAATGTAAATAGGCATCCTGAGATAACATTCAATGTGAGGACGAAATTTTGTCCATAATAAAATCTAATCTGGGATAAAATCCTGATTGGTCCGAGGAGTGAGACTAATGATGGAGATAATAGGGGCCCAACCTATCTGCCAGAATGTGGTCGGAATATTTTCATATCATTGTGTTTTTACCGAGATTGGACTATAGTTTTGAGGTAAATGATGATCTTTAGTGGGTTTAGGTAATAGAGAAATTGTCTAGCCAACAGCATCTCCTCGGGAAACCTACCCTCCCATGCAAAACATCATTGAAAATAAGGCATCAGAAAGGGAGCCAATGTAGGGGGGCATTGTGGGGTTAAGTGTTTTTTAATAAAATGGATGTAAACCCATTGGGGCCCTGTGCATGTGGAAGTTTTTAGTGCACTATATCGCACAGGTGATTTCTCTTCCAAAAGTGCCATGGAGCATCTATGAGAGGATATTTGAGAGGGTGTCGAGAGCAGGAGTGGGGTATTAGAATCAAGCAATGAAGCCATTTGTCGTCGGTGGAGGTTGGTTTAGTGGGGACACTAAATAGGGTGGAATAAAAAATTTTTGGAATTTCCCAGGGACTTCATGGGGAAAAGAGAGGAGATGCTGGCCTGATTAGTAACGTCTTTTGTAGAGATGTGGGGGGTCGTTTTATAGAGTGGTTTAATTTTCGTGCAAACATAGTTAGAGGCTGAGTTGCTATGTAATAAAAAAGAGGCCTGTCGGACCAGCGCTGAGGCCTTCTCCGTTTTTCTGGGAAAGGCATAGTATTTAAATTCTAGGTGCTTTTGCGGATATACGTTTGTTTTGTTTAGGAGTGATGGGTTTGCAAACATGGGTTCTATATGTATGTGCTTCCTAATACTCGAAGGCGCGTTGCTTAATTTTTAATTATATTTTAGAAACAATATAGAGTCTGGGATTAAAAATTCCATTTCAGTCTTCTGCAGATGACACCAAGTTGTGCGGTAGACTAACAATTCTTACAGTATGTCTTTTCCAAACTTACACAGCAGTGGCGGGACTGGACCATTTGGAAACTCGTGGCCACTGCCGAGGGCCCGGCGGTCAAGTTGGGAGGGTGACCATGATGATTGCCCCTGGCACCTCTTTTTCATTAGGCTTTTTTGAGTTGGGGCGAAGGGACATCAGGGGCCTGATCCCCTATTGCCCGGGGGCTTCCATGACGTTGGTCAGGGGGTGTCTGCCTATGCTTACAAGCCAACACTCAATGCACTGTTTTATTGGGACAAACTAATGTGGACAAATGAAGGTTAAATGTTGATTAATTGTAAGGTTATGCATTTGTGGGCTAAGGATATGCATGTATCATACTTACTAGGGGGAGTACAACTGGGGGAATCAATGGTGGAGAAGGATCTGGGAGTGTCTGTAGTAGATCACAAACGATAATATATGGCATGCAATACCTTAGACTTGCAGTTTTCTAAAGCAAGCAAAAAATCCTCTCTTTTATTAAAAGAGGTATAGGACTTCCAGAGAGAGATATCATTTTACACCCTGTACAAATCATTAGTAAGACCTCATCTGGGAATATGCAGTCAGTTTTGGGCACCAATTCACAAATATGAACATTGGGGGAATTTGGAGAAAGTACAGTTGAAGGGCAACCTAAAACTGATAAAGGCATGGTGGAGGCTCAGCTTATGAGGAATGATTAGAATTCTGTGAAAAAATTTCGATTTCGAGTCGAATATATTTCGCTGCGATTTAACTTAATAAAAGGGGTGTTTCTAGGCTTCAGAGAGCCTTTATATTAGTTTTGGGTGCAGAACACTGTATACCTTTAATTTAAATGCCCTTGGAGTCTGCTGGGGAACTAGAAATAATACTGACAGTCAGTATGACATGCAGATGAGTGCCGTCGATCTTGAATCACCGCACACTTCACTCATTTGGGCAGTCACGGGGCCAAAACCAGAGTGTGGAGCCACAGTGTGGCGGTGGAGGCACCAGCAGCAATGGGAGGCCATACAGCACCGCCTATGAAAAAATGGAACCCACCAGCAGTGTGAGGAGACCTGAAAGTGGCACATGGCAGAGTGTGGCGATGGAGACAGCAGCAATGGGAGGCCGTGGTCTATTACAGGGACCATGACACACTCTGGACCTGGCAGCAGCATGAGGAGGCGTACAGGGGCCCATGACAGATTACGGGCCTTGGCAGCAGCATGAGAGTTGACGGTACGGGGGCCCATGGCAGATTAGTGGGCCTGGGTCAAGCAGCATGGGAGTTCTTCTACAGGGACCCTATGACACACGGAGGGACCTGGCAGAGCTGGGACGCTTTAGTACAGGGGCCCATGCGCAGACTTTCGGGCCTGGCAGCAGCTAGTGACATAGGAGTTGGGTTACGGGGGCCATGGACACACGAGCGGACCTAGCAGCGAATGAGGCAGCGGTTGCCGCATGGAAAGATTACGAGCCTGGGCAGAGCAGCATAACACTTCGAAGGACGTCTGCAGATGGCGAGTACCGGGTGGCGTGCTGAATGGCAGACTATATGTCTCTTGGCGGTTTGCCTCAAGGACATGCTGACGGATCCTTGTGGCCGTAGATCTAGGTTGCAGGGGTAATGGAGGCGTCTGACGCGGGCAATATTTTGGTGCCATAACCAAGCGTACTCACTAGGTTGGCCATCAAGATTACGGAGGCCTGACCAACCTCAGAATGTGGGAGTGGTACGGGGGGCTAGTTGTGTGGGCAGCAGCATTGGGAGGCCGTTGTACTGCAGCAGCCTATGACCAAAAGGATGACTCCCAGCAGGACTCATGAGGGACCTGAAAAGTGGCACCTGGCAGCTTCTGTGGCGATGGCAGACAGCAGCAATGGTAGAGGGTTACAGGGCCCCTGAGCATGACTCTGGACCTGGCACAGCAAGCCATGAATTGAGGCAGAGAGACTGAGAGAGTTAGGTACAGGGGCCCATGGCAGATTTAGGGGGCCTGGCTGCTGGCAGCTAAGCTGATGGTGAGGCCCGTAATCTGCCAGCAGGCCCTTATCAAAAAAAATGCAACACATCCAGCAGAAATGTGTGAGGAGACCTGAAAGTGGCCATGGCAGAGTGTGGCGATGGAGACCGCAGCAGAAATGGGAGGCCGTACAGGAGGACCCATGAGACACTGGGACTCTGGCAGCAGCATGAGGAGGCCAACGTTTAGGACAAATAGGGGTCCCATGGCAGATTAGGGGCCTGGCGCAGTACATTTAGCTTAATGGGGGGCCGTTAATCTGCCAGCACCCTTATGACAAAAAATGGAACACGCCCAGCAGTGTGAGGAGAGCCTGAAAGTGGTAACATGGCATGGCGAGAACTTGTTGGTACCGGGCGGCCTGAGCAGACATGAGGAGCGGCCTGCGGAGGGTTTACAGGGGGACCATGGCAGATTAGGGGCCTGCAGTCAAGCTATGGGAGGTCCGTATATCTGCCAGCACCCTATGACAAAAAATGGAACAAACAACCAGCAGTTGTGAGGGAGACCTGAAAGTGGCATCTACAGGAGTGTGGCGATGGAGACAGCAGCAATGGATGAGGGCCGTACAGGACCCATGTGGACACATGGCAGCAGCATGAGGAGGCGGTTGGGTACGGCTTGGCCCATGGCAGAATTAGGGGCCTGGCAGCAGCTATGAGGAGGCCCGTAATCTGCAACCAGACTCTATGACAAATTTGGCTACAGCATATATGTGAGGATTAGGGCATTAAAGTGGACCCATTTACATGGCATTTGTGGGATGGACGTGTACAGCAGCATGTGCGGGAGGCACGTACAGTACTGAAACTATGAAAATCCATGAGACGATATTATCTCCAACCGTCAGTCGTGCAGCTTCATTTTCAGCAATGGTGTCGAGGTGGTCTCCAAGGTGTGCAGCTTTGGAACCAATGGAACAGTCTCTCAGATCAACGGATCCTAGGCGGAGCTAGCAAGACGCTCCTTTGTCGACTCTTTGGCGGATACAGGCAGGCGCTGCCAGAGTGGGCTCCAGCTATGACAGCTAAGCTTAATACAAAAGGCCAGCAGCTATGAACTTAACCTATCGTTAAAAATAGGCAACATGGTTGACGGGCAGTTGAGTATAATGGGCTGGATTGTAACCTTTCAGTTGTTATGTAGGGAAACTGGTATGGTTTTGAAATCCATAGGACTAATCCTACCGCCTGAATTCATTTTCACAAACGTCGAGTCTCTCCACACTTTGGGTAGGACAGTGTAGTGTCCTCCGCGGAGTTACAATACGTCCTTAAACACGCACTAAAACTGCGTCTCCGATGCTCAGCGCTATGCTGGCGGGGCTATGACTAGCCTTTCAACGGGCAAACTTCAGCTAGTGGGGCCAAAGGTAAGTTGTTCGTTGCACAGTTATTGTAATAGGGGTAATTGTCTGACCTCAGGTTGGTCACACGGTGCTGTCCAATCGTAGGGCCTAAGACTGTTTGTTTTGAGGTCCTGCTCCTAGGTACACGTGATGCTGCTGCGGCTAGCGGTTAGTATGTAGTTTCCTCACAGGATGCGCTGGTGAAGAAAGCTACTCATCATCGACTGCAGTCTGAGGCAGCCGGCTGCTGGTGGAGCTGCCACTGCTCTTACCACCCCACCCCTCCCATGCTTGCCATTGGCAGCGGTAACGCTGATGAGCACAGGGCCCCACTAGTCGTCTGTACGGATGGGACGTATTGAGCGCTTGAAAGGCAGATGACCAAGCTGTACTACATAGGTGGCGTTTTTTTTTTTAGTAGACGTGTATTTTGGCCTCCCTTCTCAGCAGGTGGTGAAATAAAGGCCACCAGAGTTTCCTTGAACTAGGTTAGCGAGGAGTTCCACACAAGTGATGGACAGCCAGCAAAGTCTATCCCTCTGTCTGTATGATGGTTAATTATTCGGTCTGTCGCTACGCATAGCAAATGACGAGCATGCTATGGGCAATTTTTATTTTTTGTTTGCCAAGGAATGCGAGGTTTTAAGGACTCCTGCCTCCATCTCCTCAGCATACTGCCATTGGTGCGTATTCTGAGTGGTCCTCTGTATCCTCCTCCTCTACCAGGGATGCTCTGCTCTCCACCTCCTGTCCGCTGAGTGGAAAAAAAAACCACCCATTTCACTCAATAAAATTCCTTGAGCACAATGTCCGCCTTTCTACCTCCTCCATCTTCTTCTGTCTGCCCCCACTGGGGTACATGTGGGGCATTGAGATCTGTGCGCCATGTCTACCGCACCCTGACCAGCCATTGTACAACCGATTTGTACTTTTTCCAGGTCGTGCAACAGAGGATGACTCGTTCATCCCATAGTCCTGCCGATCACGAATGCTGTGGCTCCTCAAAGGGCCTGAGCAAGCGCAGGTGTCACGCATGAGATGCCAATGGTCTGACATTAATTTAAACACGGGGAGTACCTTTATCCCCTTGTAACCCCAGGAAATCGGGTGGTTTGGGTTTGCTGTTCGTTTAAAAGGGGGGTTCCCAACATATGTAGGGTTGAATTTCCCCCTTGTTGCAAAAGTACAGCATGAAAGGGGGCGGTACGGGGGGACCAGGGGAGATTAGGGGCCCGGCAGCAGCCCAAAGGGGGGGCCCCTAAACTGCCCGCACCCTATGACAAAAAAAAGGGGAAAACACCCAGCCCGTGTGAGGAGACCTGAAAGTTTGGGACAAAGGCTTGAGGGCAATGTGGGCCTGGAAACCCGATGAGGAGGCGGTTTCCGGGGCCCATGGGAGATTAGGGGCCCGGCAGCAGCTATGGGGGCCTTAATCTGCCGGGAACCCCATGACAAAAAAAAAGGAACCCCACCCCGCCCGTGTGAGGAAAACCTTTAAAAATGGACATGGAAAAGTGTGGCTATGGAGACAGCCCGCAAAAGGGAGGCCCTTTTCAGGGACCCATGAGAGACTTGGGCCTTTGGGAGCGCTTTAGGAGGGGGGGGGTTTTAGGGGCCCATGGAGAAATTTTGGGGCCCCGGGGGGAAACCCGCTATGGGGGGCCCGTTTAAACTGCCGCAACCCCATGACCAAAAAAAAGGAACACACCAGCATGTGAGGGGGACTTGAAAGTGGCAAAAGGGCAGAGTGTGGCGATTTTTGGGGGACAGCAGCAAATTTGGGGGGCCGTCAGGGGGGCCCATGAGAGGGGTTTGGACCTGGCCCGCAGCATGAGGAGGCGGGATAGGGGCCCATGGGAAAAAAGGGGGGCCCGGCAGCAGTATTGGGGGGCCCCTTTAACTGCCCGCACCCTATGACAAAAAATGTAACAACCAGCAGTGTGAGGAAGGGCCCGAAAGTGGCACATGGCCCGGGGTGGGGATGGAGACAGCAGCAATGGGGGCCGTTACGGGCCCAGGAGACTTTTGGGCCTGGCAGCAGCATGAGGAGGCGGGGGATAGGGCCCATGGCAGACTTAGGGTCCTGGGCGAGCAGTGAGTGGGGAGGCTTCGTAAATTTTCCGCAGCACCCTTGACAAAAAAATGGGAACACAACAGCAGTGTGAGAGAGACTGAAAGTCGGCACATGGCAGAGTGTGGCGATGGGGACAGCAGCAATGGGAAGGGGCTGTACAGGGGACCCTTGAGAGGACCTTCTGGGACTGGCAGCAGCATGAGGGGAGGCGGTATAGGGGCCCATGCAGATTAGGGGCCTGGCAGCAGCTATGGGAGGCGTAATCTGCAGCACCTATGACAAAAAATGGGAAAACAGCGACACATGCAGGTGGGAGGAGACCTGAAAGTGGCACATGGCATAGACACTGTGGAACCCGGCAGCGCATTTAGGAGGCGGTACAGGGGCCCCTGGCAGATTAGGGGCCTGGAGCGCTATGGGAGCCCCCTAATCTGGGCCCGCCCCAATTTTACAAAAAATGGGGAAACACCCGCAGTGTGAGGGAACCTGAAAAATTTCAAAATGGCAGAGGTTTTGGCGATGGAGACAGCAAACAATGGGAGGCCCCTACAGGGACCCATGAGAGACTCTGGTTCCCCGGGGAGCAGCATGAGGGGGGGTTTTAGGGGCCCTTTGGGGGATTAGGGCCTGGGAGCAGCTATGGGGGCCCCGTAAACTGCAACCCTATGACAAAAAAAAAGGAACACACCAGCAGTGTGGGGGAAACCCGAAAGTGGCCATGGCAGAGTGTTTGGGGATGGAGGGCAGCAGCCCAAAGGGAGGCCGTACAGGGGCCATGAGGGCACTCTGGGAAACCCGTCAGAAAATGAGGAGGCGGTTTGGGGGCCCCTGGCCGATTTGGGGCCCGGG